GGGTTCGAACCCGGCAGGTGCGGGTTCGAATCCGGCAGGTGCGGGTTCAGTGCCTGTATTCCGTTGTCCAGGAGGCGAGGACTGGGCGGCTTTGAAGACTGAGCTGCGTTCGGCTTCATTGCGTCCGGCTGTGGCATTGGTTGGTACGCACGGGAGTGTGGCGAAGCGGGAGATATTACAGGAGGAGGTAGACGAGCAGAAGTTTTTATTGCGTGCGTTACGAGTGGCATTGCGATACTTGGCGGACGGCGGTGATCTGTTGCTGGGACTGTCGACAACCGGTACCCGCTTCTCGGGTTCATTGCTATTGCTGCTATCTGTCTGCTTCAAAGATCTTACAGTTGCCCGACCTCCAACGTGCGCGGCCTGGACACAACGTCGCTACGTCTACTTCCGCCATTTCCTCACGCGGCAAAAAGCGAGAAAACTTGTTCTAGGTTTAGTTAATGCCGCCGCCCTCGAATACAACAAACCCGTCATGAACGACCCCAAGACGCCCAACGCATTCCACTACCTACTCCCACCTCTCTTCTTCGCCAACCCCGCCTTCGCCGAGTTCCTCACCGCAGCCAATAACGCTCTCGCACGAGAAGAATTCGCCGCCTACGAACACATCTTTACGCAACTCCGCTTCAACCATCACATGGCTCAACAGAATATACTCCCACCTGATGCCGATCGACCCTGCGATCGACCTACTGATCGACCCTGCGATCGACCTACTGATCGACCCTGCGATCGACCTACTGATCGACCCTGCGATCGACCTACTGATCGACCCTGCGATCGACCTACTGATCGACCCTGCGATCGACCTACTGATCGACCCACCGACGAGATCAGATTACTGGATCCGCGAGTCCCCATGCCCGACCGTTGGTTCGCTGGCTATAAACGCGCATTATACCTAAAGCACGAAGAATTGGTGCGCGGACAACTTAACAAACTCTTCTACTTCGGCCAACTGTTTACCGGCCAACCGACCGCGGTGGTTCCGGCGGCGCCGGCGGCCTCCTCGGTCCTGCCGCCGGCGGCTGCCGCCGCGGCGGCGGTGGTGCCTGCGCCGGGATGCGCCTTTCCAACCTTTACGGGATGGTTGCAAGCTGCACTGGCAAATCATTCGGAGGAACTCAAGACGCTTGTGCGTCTGCCGCTCAACACGCTCGGCCTGGTCGCCGTCTACCGCGATCTCACGGAGTACTTGGTGACCCACGAGATCCATGAAACCTCACTCGTACAGGATCCAGAGTACAACAAATGGGGTTGGGCCACTCTTGACCGTGTAAAACTCGAACATGTCGAAGGCAAGTTCTTCCCACACTCTGCACCGCAACACGTACACGCTATACTCACGAAACAACAACATACTTCGCCGGACCACCACCACACTTCACCTGAGCCTGGTGTAGACCCGCCTGGTTCTGGGGAAGACCAACTTGGGCCTGGGGGAGAGAGCTCCTTCGACGATCTGCTGCGCCAGCTCGTGCGCGAAGAAGACGTCACACCCGCGACCTCCGATCGTGAAGACGACGCCGAACGTGCACCCGTGAGGCGCGCCTGCAGCCACGAACCGCCGCCAGTCCGCGCTGTTGCTGGCAGCAACCTGCCGAGCAACTTGCCGGAGACAAAGGAGACCGAAGACCACGCGGACTTCCAATTCGATGAGTTTATGCCCACAGACGATATGTTCAAAGAAGACCTCATGTTCGACTAACCCCTTTGTGTGCCGGAGAAATTGGTACAGAACACGACCCCGGAAACTGGTCGCACACTGGAACAAAATAACGCATGTTTTTGATCAACAACAAAACTTGTCCTGGAATTTGTCTCGCGTTGTGGCATGCGTTTTTTATTAAGAATCGGCCCGTAGGGCGCGGCAGGGAAAGACCCTCCAGGATGCAAACACTCGGGGCAAGGGCTCCAGCACTTTGCCCTTTTCGGGCAGGCCTGTTGACTTGATTTGACCAAGTCCGATACGGAGCTGTGTTTGTGCAGAGGTGTTTATGCCTCTGGCTTCCTGCACCTGCCTACTCGCGCGCTACCTAGTTTGGGCGCTTAAAGGATGCGGCACTTCCTCTTCCACTATTCTCTGAATCGCTATTCCGATGGTCTCGCGGTTCTTTGGGAGATGACTATGACTAGGCCGCTGGTTGGACGGCCGCCGAGTGGTCGAAGAAATGGTCGGGGGGGTGGTCGGTTCGGCATGCCAAAGCAGCACAAATAAAAATGCATTGCATTCCGTACTTCCGGAGCCATTAGCGGAACCATTAGCGGCCCGTGTCAGCGACTCCGTGAAGTTCGCTTTGCACTTGTCCTTTTCAGTGGATACCTTTTGGGTGGAAAAAGGGGGTTAAAATAAGAACTGGCGTACCCTGAACCAGGAAACCAAAACAGGTGTTGCACGAAGCCGGTCACGTTTCTGGTAACCATCGCAAACGGTTTCTGGTAATCAACGGAGCCTTGTAATCATCATCGCAAACAGTTCTCAACGCGCACTCCGCCGCATTTGATATAAGCTGTCGTTGAAGCCTGGCGAAGTCGATCCCGGTTGCTCCGCCGTACCTGTAGCAGTGAAGCCGGCCCCGGTTCACGGAGCACATAAAGGCACCCTCGTTACGGCCGCAAATGTCGCTAGCCGCGGACGGCCTATCCATGTCGTAATGGTGGCCCGTGAAACACGCCTCCAACGGCTCCTTCAGCCTGACCAGCTCACTGTCGGACACAAAGGTCGTGGTTGGAGCACCGGAAGTGGGAAAGCTAAGGGGGGTGTTGGCGGTAGTGTTGTCCAGACTGAAGTTGCCAATGCCCAATATTGAGCTGTTCATAACGGGAGCTGTTTCATTGTAGTGATGGGGCAGCATCTTGACGGCCCAGTACAAGGCCATGGTACCCGCGGTGAAGCCGACGGCGACGGCAGGCCACAGGAAATAGGGGCGTAACAGGAGGGAGGGGCGGGGGTCGAAGAGAGTCCTCCACTCCTTGGATGCGTGCTTCAAGA